GTGTGTGTGTGTGTGTGTGTGTGTGTGTGTGTGTGTGTGTGTGTGTGTACAACCTGAACTTGTCAACAAGCATGTCATCTGTGAAGTCTTGTGTTTTCAGAAACCTTCAGCCACGTCTCTTTTCTTGTTAAAGCATAATATAGGAGGGATAAAAATGAATTTTTCCCTCTTTAAACCCCTCCTGCTCCTTTGCCTCCACAGCAGGTGGCCGTTCCCGCCAGCTCCGGCGTCAGTACGATGGTGAGGCCCGTGACAGGGGCGGACATGGGCATCATGAGAGCAGAGATCCGTCAGGGGCTCCGGGAGGTCATCCTCTGTAAGGACCAGGACGGGAAGGTGGGACTCCGGCTCCGTTCCATCGACAACGTGAGTCAGCGTTTATCACACTCCTCTTCCTGCATGCCCATAAATTATTCAGACGGGGCTGAAACACAAACAACAACTGACTGAAAACTTTACTTTCACATTGTTTCAGCAGTTTTATATGGGATAAATCTTGTGCCAGCAGGAATTGCGCCACTTAGTGTTTATGTTGATTTAAAGAAAGCATTCGACACCATTGATCACAGTATTCTTCTTGAAAAGTTCAATAAATATGGAATTAGAGGACTAGCACTACAGTGGGTATGTAGTTATTTGAAAGACAGGAAACAGTTTGTACAAATAAATGATGTAAGATTTGAACTCTGTAATATCATATGTGGAGTTCCACAGGGTTCTGTACTTTTACCAAAGTTGTTTCTTTTGTATGTCAGGGTTGTTGAAATGTGTTTTATTTGCAGATGATACCACATTTTTTTGTTTCGGTAACGACAGAGAAGGTCTGATGGAAATGATGCAAACAGAATTTGTAAAAATACAAACTTGGTTTCAATTTAATAAATTATTAAATTTGGACAAAACTAATTATGATATTCAGCAGTAATAAAAAGAAAACTATCAATATTTCATTTAGAGTTGATGGTGTTGAGATTTGTAGAGTCAGTGAGGTGAAGTTTCTGGGTGTAATTGATGAAAAGCTGACATGGAAATCTCACATAAATTATTTAAGATTAAAAATAGCCAAATCCATTGCAGTATTGTACAAAGTAAATGAGTTGTTTAATGATAAAGCACTGTTTATATTATGTAATGCAATAATTGTTCCACACTTGTTATACTGTATTGAAGTCTGGGGTAAAGCATGTAAAACAATTAAAAATCCTATTTTTGTTTTGCAGAAAAGAGCCGCAAGAATTATCAGAAAACATTACCGTCACCCATCAAATATATTAATTTATCAGTTGAAATTATTAAAGTTTTATGAGTTGATTTATGATATTTTGCTGTTTATGTATAAGGCTCATAAAATAGTATTACCTTTGAACATCCAACCATAATCTGTAGGGATTAGAAATGTTTGTAAAACCCACAATTTGAACAAATTTAAAGGACGGATGTATTTCGGTCCAGGGAATACGATTATGGAATAAATTGGAAAGTGATTGTAAAAATGCTGGTTCAATTAATTTGTTTAAAAGAATGATAAAAATTCATTTGTTAAAGAAATATAAAACTGTACAGTTT